AACTAAGCGCATAACCTGCCAACACCTTAGGAAGTGCCCCATCGTGAACGTACTCATTGTTGGCTGCATCGGTGATACCTATCTCAGCGCACACATAGAGCGCAAGCACGAGCGCATCTCCCGCACCGTCATTTGGAGCTCGGCGCCTCATAGCGCAAGCACAAGCAAACTCACACGATCTTTCAAGCATGACAAACACGAGAACTAGGGAAGCCAATCACTCTCCCTTTGTGACATGAACTAAGCGCATAACCTGCCAACACCTTAGGAAGTTAGAATCCATTCTGACATACGAGGCAGGTGATGAAATCGGGGGGCCAACTCTCTCCCTTTGTAACATGAGCTGTGAGCCCTGCGATAGCAGACAACCTGCCAACACCTTAGGAGCCCGTGATGGGATTTGAACCACTAACCTAACGAAGGATGCTGGATGACTGCAGATGATCAAGATGGGTTTTTATTCACTTACAGAGAGAAGTCACGGTCCCTTGCGGGGAACTTACCTATATATTTTATGTTCAAAGGCCCCTTTTTATTACGCTCCCAAAAGCTCTGCAAGTGCAAGCCAGTCAGCCAAGCAAATGCAGACGGCAGTCATATCATAATCATACCTTTGACAATTTCAAAGTTCAAATTTTATTTTTATTGCTCCTCAAAAATGACAAAAAATGTACACTACTGCAAACTGAGTCAACTGACACATGAACACCGAGGACGCATTTCAAGCCGTCCCAAGCCCCCTTGGCCCTTGCCGATTTTTCCTCTACACGACGCACACGAGCGATCTTTCACTCCCTCTCTGTAACAGCGTGTTCCAACACCTCAAATTTCGAAAACATTCGAGGACAACATATTCTATGCTGCTGAGGCTGATCGCAACAGTCCTAAAGCTCAACTTTGCTCAAGCTTCTTGCATGGCCGACAACCCTCGAATATGGGAACAGAATGGACAGTACAACAATTAACAGAATGGACAGTACAACAATTCTAAAGCCACAAAAAGACGATCCCGAGCGCATCATTCACTCCTGAACTCCAGAGCCATGGACTCAAGCCTATCACAAGCATTCCCACATCGACAAACACTGTGTTTGTACCTTTTACTCATCGACAAACACTGTGTTTGTAACTTCTAAGTTTTTAGCCCCATACCGCTGCATGCAATAGTCGTGTGTCCCCTCTGTAAAACCACCTTGTCTTGATAACCCTTATTTGTAATGTAAAGATGGGTGGGGCTGAGGAGGTCTGACTATCCAGCTCAGGTTTCAGCAGCAGGAATGACGGTCAGCGGGACGCAAGTTCGGTGTTTAATGAGAAGATCCCATATCATCCTCACAATCATATTGCACGGAGCACGGAGGTTAGGTACATCATACCTGCTTCTATATAATAAAAAAAAGAACCCACAAGGCCCTGACCACTGTTCAAATCAAGAAACCAACTACAGATGCTGTTGTTATTGTAGTGGGGTCACCTGCATTAAATGCAAACTTTAAGACGCACACAAACTGAATCAAGAGTATGCAAGTCCTATTGATGACTAGATGACCTGTTGCAGCTTTGCCCGCAAAAGAAACGGAAAAAAAAAACAGAAATGTTATCACCCTGGCCAATTTCCAAGTACACATTCATGAGAAAGTACAATGTCATCCAATTGCAAAAAGAAACGAATTAACTTGAGAGGAGAGAGAGGGAAAGAAGAAGAGGAAGAAAGAAAGAAGAAGACGATGATGTACACCAGCATAGACCAATGAGAACGCTCTTCTTCTTCGACAACCACTCTCCTCCTTATCTCCTCCCCTCTTATTCAAACAAGAAAAAATAATAATAATAATGTTGAATGGCTGAACCAGAATCAATGTCTGAATCATATGAGGTCAACCATAGCCATGGCCACCCTCCTTCCTCCTTCCTCCAAGGCCGAGGCTATGGCGGACTACCAGGGCATTGCCCTGCTGTGCAAAGGAAAACACAAAGCAGCTATGGCTGCTCTAGCTGAGTCTGCCATGCCCGACTCTGCCTCGAAACTTCTTGGTGTAGCTCGACCCCAACTGGGGCCTTCCAGATGCAGCACCCACCAAGGTGTGAAGATGGCATCCACCATAGCCAGGTAAGTACCTCTGGCGCTCTCCCTCTTCCTTGTCCTTGTCCTCCTCTCTCGGTCCTTGCTCTTTCCCCAGCAGCGCTGCGCTGGGTGCTAGCGCTGCACTCCAACCAGTGTGTCGCCAAACTTGCACACCGACACCGAGGAGCACTTTGCTCCTCCTAGAGATATAGCAGCCTGCTTGCCTCCTGGCGAGTGACTTCCTAGGCCGTGAGGCCTCCAAGCAACAGGTACCTCCTCCCTTTCGGATGGAAACATCATTGCCGGCTCTGATATTGCCCGTACAGGCCCTAGACTCACGATTGGTTGGACTGGTACCCGCCAAGACCTAGCCTACAACTACTGGGCCTCTAAAAATGCCAACTTTTGTCTTCTGCTCGAGCTCGAGTACCCGGCACATCTACCTCTGCCTTCTGAACGAACAAGTGCCCTTGCGGGACACACATACACTCACACCGACAAGCACTCAGACATGCATGCAGACCAGCAAGCACGCATACACAGTGTTTACACAGACTTAGAAAACTCAGCAACAGGCGGGAAACTCGGCAAGGCATACATTCCATGCACAAAAACTCAGAAATCAGCTGTGTGCCCCAGTCCGTGTTTGGTAGGTCATTACAGAAAAGAAAAAGAAAGGACAAAAATGAACAAAAGACTGAAATGATAACAAGGATATTTTTAGAAAAAGCTGTGCAATAAGCAGGGGCAAAAACAAAACAAAAAAAGCACAGCTCTCTCTCTCTCTCTCTCTCTCTCTCTCTCTCTCTCTCTCTCTCTCTCTCTCTCGCGCGCGCGCGCGCGCGCGCGCGTCATTGTCAAGCTTTCCCTCCAGCCCCCCTCCCTTCCCACCTCCTGCTGCAATTTTTGGCTTGCTTCCTACAGTTCTCGCCCTTCCCCCATCTTCGCATGAGATCGGTGTTCTCTCTAGCTCCCCCAATTCTCCAACCTCCATTTCCCTGGTCCTCCAATTTTGACACACCGTCCGCCCTCCTGCCCCCTCTTGCAACACGATAACACCACTGTCCACTCCCCCTCTCCACCCTCCTACCAACAGTGTAACGCTTCCTCCCCCTTCCCCTCCGCCCTCCTCTTGTGATTCCAGTGTTTTTCCCCAACCTGGTTCTCCCCGTTCCCTCCTACCATACTGCAAGTTTCTCTCCACCGTCTTTAATCCACTCCCACTACTGTCGCAATGATTTTCCTGCACCTCGCTTTGAGCACCCAATGTTTATGTCTACCCCCAATTTCCCTTTCCTTCTCTTCTCTCTCGCCCCACAAGTTTGATGCTTCCTTCCCCACCCTTCTCCCCCCCCTCCCCCCAACTCCCAACCTCTCTGTCTACCCCCCCACCCCCCTTTCCTTCTCTCCCCCCACAATTTCGATGCTTCCTCTCCACCCCTTCCCATCCATGTGTGTTCAAGAGACAAAGCCGGTGCTTTTCTGCGTGTCTGCTCTGTGATGCAGGGTGTCTGTGTGAGTGCATTGACTTGCACGCACAAGCAGGAGGGAGGCGAGTGGGTGTATCTGCATGTGTTTGTGTGTGTGGGTGTGTGTCTGTGTGTGTGTGTGTGTGTGTGTGTGTTGTGTTTTGAACCTTTTTTTCACTCGGATTCGAACTCTCACAATCGCGACAGTCTAAGCATGTGGAATATCAAAACGAGTGTAACGTTTTGGTGAAGTGGCAATTTCAAAAGCAGTGCATGCTCATTCATTCATTTGCATTTAGCAGTTCTGCCCAGATAAACAGGAAGACAGCGAAGAAGGGGGGAGAGAGAATGAATTGAGAAAGATTGGCGGGGGRGGGGGGGGGGCTCTGAGAATGACGGGRGAAAAKGGGGGGGGGRGGGGAGCAGGTGAAGTGGGCTACAGACCTCCTGGCTCGGAAAAAAGACAAAGAAGAAGAAGGGCATCAAGGGGGCGCCATTACCTTGAGCTGTGAGCTCAAAAACATTCCAACATCAAGAAGAAGTCGATTCCCTGACTCGTCACTCTTAACCGCCTCGTTGGCAGTTCTTGCAATTAGCTCTTGCCCTGCGCCTTCGGCCACAACGATCACCATGTGTCCATTCTCATGCAGTCGTTTCTCAACGAACTCATAAAGCCCTCCTTTTCCCTCAAGATAGAAGGGAAGCTCAGGGATCAGACAGCAATCCTGCCATCGCACAGGGCAAAGAAAAGTGAGGCCCGAAAGATCAATTTGTGACTCGATTAAATAGAAAGTCGATGAAACCCTTGCAAACTCCAAGGGGCAGCTGGTTCAAACTCGCGACTCTCAGACTACGGAAATGACTGCAATACAACTTCGTAAATTACTAGATTCAAAGTTCAAACAGTTAAAACTTAATAAAAGGAAATAACAGAGGAAAGAATTCAAAGAAATATCAAGTCATTTGTGTTGCACCGGGGTTGATTTTTAAATCGCATTTGATTGGGTATTCCCTACTATTCCGGCGTAACTCCCAGCCAAAAAGTCGTTTGTATTTTAATTTTATGTAACATTACTAACATACGTTTTTTCAGTTTTTCAGACTTTTTCTATTAATAAAAAAAATCCTTTTTCTTTTTCTTTTTTTTTTACATGTGTACGTGGGTTTTTTAGCACGTACGCGTCCTCCGGAGTACATACTTGTCCTCCCTGCGTACACGTACACAGGGTGCAGCAGCATGTAGCAGCATACCCCTTGTGGGGCCACAAGTCCTGGAAGCATGGCAAATTATGAAAAAACTTCCAAACATTTTAAGGGACACAACCCAATCTCCTCTTCTCTGCCTCATCCCACTTTTACATATTTAATAGTTATCGATGTCAAGGAGAGGAGGAATTCTCTCAAGTGAGAAACCAAAAGCAAAATCTCTAGAAGGTAGACCGCCAGCTCAAGCACCCCAGCTGCCAAACAAGTTCGCAAGCACAAGGGAAATGACTGGACTGGGTCACCAGGCCCAAAAGTATCTGCGTGTGGAAAGGCCCCAGTCAAACAGGACACACAGAAGCCAGGGCCAGACCAGTCCAGACTGCCGCAACTAATCGGTAGGGGAAAAGAAGAAAACAATTCTATGACAGCGCCACGCAATCATCTCCTTCTCAACTCCTCCCCTACAACCCACCTCCAATCAGCAACTCTCTCTCTCTCTCTCTCTCTCTCTCTCTCTCTCTCTCTCTCTCTCTCTCTCTCTCTCTCTCTCTCTCTCTCTCTCTCTCTCTCTTCCCCCACACCCCCCCAATAGGAAGGCGAAGAAAGCTAAAGCTCTCTCTCTCTCTCACTCTCTCTCTCTCTCCCCCTCTATCTGTCTGCCTCTCTCTCACATAGGGCAACGAAGAAGAAGAAGTTCTCTCTCTCTCTCTCTCTCTCTCTCTCTCTCTCTCTCTCTCTCTCTCTCTCTCTCTAAATGCATACTGAGCAGTGGTAGTTACTAATCAGAGCCTCGAGCCGCTGGTGACCTGCAGTGTCATGAAGAGGAAGACCGGATATGGCCGATGGCTGACCTCCCAGCTATGGCACCAGGTTCGTGGACTACCTCTCCTACTCCTATGTCTGCTCAGCATGCGCTGGCGCTAGGCTGCTTGGCAGTTCGAGGACGGGAAAAATGGGCTTGGGCATACTGGTGGTTTAAGAAAGTTGAAAATATTGTGGCCATCCGCAAGTTCAGACAAGTGGCAGAGACCTCCTGAAACACATACACACGTTGACGAGTCGGTGAAAGTCCGGCAAAACAGTTCTCGAACAGTCATGCTTTTTTTTCTTTGGTGGAGTATTAAGCAATATTAACTGTCAAGCATAGCGAACATGACAACACACTCTCATCAAAGCATCCTTCACCCAGATACTTAACTCGAAGCCATTCTCATGAAACTGCAAAATGCATTGACATAGTTTCAGAATCTGAGCCACTCACTTTTCCTTTTTTTCTTCAGAATCTGAGCCACTCATGGTAGACTCTTTTTTTTATACAAACTACGGTGTTTTCTGACCTTTTTTTTTTTTCACTTTTGTTTTCTTCTGCGAGGGTTCACCCCTCGGCATAGGGCCCTGCAGCAGGCGCGTGCCCGCCCTAAGTGAAGGCGGCCCCCCTGAATCTCGATGCGGCCTGAACTCGTCAATTTTTGCAAATCTTGGTGGGCACCAGCAGGCGCGTGCCCGCCCTAAGTGAAGGCGGCCCCCCTGAATCTCGATGCAGCCTGAACTCGTCAATTTTTGCAAATCTTGGTGGGCACCAGACAGTTGCCACGCGCCAGTTGGTTACATCCGCTTTGCTTGTGAGAATCGGAAATATTCGCGAGCCTTCCAGGCTCTTCCAGCAACGTGGTTGAAGCAGGGAACACTGCACGTTGTGCCTGGGCGGTTGGGCATGCCTAACCAAATCGGTCCCTGGCCACTGTCTGAACAGGCCTGGGCGCAGACACTTTGGCCGAGACTGAAGCTAATGGAAACTCGGTCTCACGTGGGGCAGCAAGTGGGATGCGTCCGCCACTTTCCATATACGAAAGGGCCGGGCTCCCGCACAGGCATTCGAGCACTTGCAATTGCGGGCGCAATGCTGGAGCGATCACTCGCGGGCTGCTTGCTGCGCTAGCACTGGTGCTGCATGCACGCATGGACGTGCAGGGTGCAGGGGGCTGCTGAGGGTGGCACCATAGCCAGCCGCCATAGCCAGGCTTGGCTTGGACTTAGCAGGTGGTGGTGGTCTTCGTGCAAGAGAGGGAAGACATGGGTAAGAGAAGACGAGGAAGAGAGTTAGAGAGATGAGGATGAGGATGTGAGGGCACATACCTGGTCTTGGACATGGTCTACAAGGTCGACATCTTTATGCACTGCGGTTGTTGCTGCTGTCGTCAACGGGATGCATTGTCAATTCGTAGGCTGCTAGTAGCTGTGTGGTAGTAGTCTGCGCGCTGAGCACCAAATAGGAGGAAGCGCTCTGGACACATATGTGGGTGGTGGCGAGAGTGTGCTCTCGTTGACATTCGGATTCAGTACTTTGGTTCTCCATTGGTGGAATATCAGTGCATTTCTGCTTTCTGGACAGCGTTGGACTTTCTGGCCTTCACTGTGAATTTGCATTCTGGATTTCTGTCATTTCGCTATCGCTCATTTTCCTTGCACTTCCCAAGAAGTCCATTTTACCACCAGCACATCCAGCTATCGGCCGCGGGCCCTTTTCGGAGACCGCCCGCCACCGATTCAATTTATCGATGGCGCTGGGCCTCCGAAAATTTTGTAGGCAACGAGTTTTCTTTTCAGCAAGGCTGGGGCTGTGGATTGGCGACTTAATAAGACTTGAAACCGGGTCCAGTGTAAACTTTCTTCTTCATTGTGGCATTATCGGAAAATATGGCTGGCTACAGCTGAGGAGTAGTGAGAGAGGAGAGGCTGCCACTAACCACATCTCTGCTTGCCAGCGTCGCATGCATTGCAATGTAGCCTGATGAAGATCGCCAGTCCATTTCGCCAGAGACACGTTGTGACAGCGCAATACAGCCCACACACCAAGAACAGTCTTCAGAAAAGAACAACAGCCCTTTAGGAACTCGACAATACAATATGGTGCTGCACTCGGTCTTGGCCTTTCGTTTTGACACCGATAAATAGAACTCTGCTCAGACGACGAGTGCACAGGTGCAGTGAAATGGATCTAATAGACAAGAGTACACATTCAGGCAGGCAAAAAGCCACACTCACCGCCGATTATTAACAGAATACAAAGATCAGTACATAACTCTCACCGCAAAAGTTCCAGAGAACACACAAAAAACTTCCCCCGAATCTATGCAGGCCACGCACAAAATACAAAAAGTGAAACCGCTATAGCAGGAGCCAAATAGCAAAACAGATATAGCGAAAGCCAAATAGTGAATCAGATATAGCACAAGCCAAATAATGAAACAGATGCTGCAAGCAGCTCAAGAAAATAGCAACTAAACAAAGTCGTCGAAAGTACAAATGATACGCAGGTGATGTACGCTCCACAAATGCGGTCCACAAGGCTGCACTCTGAAGCATCGAAATTTCTGGTCTGCTGTCTACATGCGCACACATGTCGACTGCAGCAGGAAAGTCGAAACAGTGATGGCGTACACAGGGTACGGTGACTGATATGAGCTCAGAAAATGGTTGATGCGAGAACGCAGAGAGCTGAGACAGGTTTGCAAACTTTGCATGCTAACAAAGGGAGACATTGTCATCACAAGGTCACAAGATTCAAATGTGTGTGTGTGTGTGTGTGTGTGTGTGTGTGTCATTCATGTATGTTCGCATGTGCTTGTTGTGGAAGCAGGGGGCAGGACGCAGGGGTGAGGTACAGGGAGAAAGGGGAGGGGGAACATACCGCTATACCTTCCCATCAGTTTCACTACACCGACACCATTATGCACACTTTGAGCCTCCACATGTGCTGCATTAATGGCCCTCTGCGCCTCCTCCACTGCCGTATCGAATCCAAATGAGCGATCAATCACCTGTGTG